TTGGACTTCACTGTTTGAGGAAAACAACTGGGTTTTGAGCATGTCCTTGTCTTCGCTAAGCCTTTTTCTGCTTTGTTCTCGCAGTGAAGACCCCACACGTCTGCTTGGCCAACCGAGGATGCAGCAGCATAAACTAAAGCGAAGCCATAGCCGATCAGCAAACCATACTGCCAGTACCAGAGGCCTTGGTACAACCCCAGTACGCAGAGTCATGAATGTCTCAACCTGTGTGTGGCAGAGAACCCATGGCTGACCCTGAAAATGAGATTTTGGTACAAGGGATGTCAGCCTTCCATGGTAAGGATGGGTAAGGTGGTTTGGACCCACGGCCTTCCATGACATCAACCTGATCGATTCTGAGAGAAAAACGAAGAGCTGAGCTGAGCCAAGCACAACCTGCTGGCTCGGTTCTCGGCTCCAGGCAGGTTGCATCTGCCATGTTGTAGAAACCCGACAGGGTGTCCACCTCAAAGAGCAGGTAGAAATACTGTAAGTACTATGTAAGTACTATATAAGTACTGTATGAATAGGAACACGCAGCCATGGACCATTGCGACTGGAAAGGTTTATATAAATCGTCCTGCCTGCAGTCCCTCAAACTTTCCTTCATTGAATGCTTTGATGTAGGCCTTGCAGTGACATGGGACGTAAACGTGCCAGATCTTGAGACTGCATCGCTTTCGAAACGCTTCAACGACAAGCAAAGACTGCAAAGACTTCGATTTCACCAAGAAAAACATACAGTAAGGTCCTTGGTAAACTGCAAGAACAGTGTAATCTACTTCGCATTTACTTCGAATTTACTAAGGAAATCAAGAGATGTTTTTCCAGGGACCTCATGTACGCGGTCAGCCATTCCAGGGTGATGCGGTTTCGCATCTTTGATCACCTGCTTGATCGCCGTCACCTCATCCGAAATCCCACAAGGTCACGAAAAAGGGTTTTAAAAATCCATCCAAAGTCGTGCAACATCACAGTCACACCACTGGATCGATGTCCATCCCCGGAAACCAAAACGTGGATCAATTCGTTTGTGAAGAAAAAGACACACAGAGTCGAGACCACATAGACCGCATAGACCCAGAAGAGATGGTCCAATGACACCCATGTATAGCTTAAATAAACACCCATATGGTGGAACGACTGAGCCGCGCTGAGCCGCGAGCATTCGGTTTGCCAAGTGCAACAGGTGAAACCTCAAACAAAAACATGCCAAGAACATGGGTGTCATGACATGCAGATGAAGGGAACGTGTGAGAACGAAGAGGAACTCTGAGTTCTTGACACTGAATGATTGTTCAATTTGCAGCACCACGGCCTGTCAAGCAAAACAGCACAAAACAGGACTGCCAGCATGCTGGCAGGATACGCTTCAGTCGCCCGATGTTCCTGGAGCTGTTTGGCCAACCATCATGCATGGGAACTAACTCTGGGCGTTGTGGTTGTTCGATTCAATTTTGCATCTGAGGTTTGCCAGGTGTTGTCGGCGCAGTCGGAACGCATGCAGAGTTGAGGCTGGATTTTGCTTCGTTTCGACCGAGATGTTTGAGAAGCAAGAAAGATTGGCAACACAATGACCCCCACCTATCTCCCTATACAATTTGCTGCCCTTGTTTTCTCCTAGAATTGGCGGCAAACGAGAGGTTCGGTTTGAAGGTTGATCTATGCGAAAGTGTTGTGTGGGGAGTTTGAGCTTAACGATTTCAAAGGCATACCGGATACCCAAGGTATCCCTGTTACCACGGACTCGACACACCACTGCACCTGTGCCTGGACTCGACACAGGGCTCTGGGTTTTCTCACACACAGCATGTCTTACGTTGTTTGACATCTATGTCCTGGTCGTCGCACGCAGGCTTGCAGCAACCTCTCACTTCTCACCCATGGCCATCCACAAGTTGTGACCCATCGTTTTGGGTCCTCTTTCAACTTCTTGGACACTGCCAGCACATGCAATGTCTGAGAATCAAAGCCACAGAATTTCAAATTTGTTCACACTCCATCGTTGACGATGACCCGTGCCCCGCCGATGCCGCCGACGCTTGAGAATGCTTCTGTCAGCGCACGCCCTGGACATTCACCCCAACTCTCTTTGATGCAGCCCCATGTTGCGCTCGATGAATGGCGGGCGAACCACTGTAGCATTGCGAATGTAGACTCGTAGACCCAAGTGCGGCCAGATTCCCAATGCCTGACCTTCTCATGAAGTGACCGTATACCGTGTGTGTGCAGAGAATTCCTGCATCAAGGTCATTACTTCACTGATCACCATTTGGTGGCGGTTGGAAGTAATGACCTTGCCATGTACAAGGCCAGAGAAACTGTCAGGGCCCACAAGACCTGGAGAGCGCAACCACCGGTCGCGCGCAAGAGCCGGTTGTAGGCACCCGTTCCGACCGGTGCCCCGACAGGCAATCCCAATGCCAGGAGCACCTCCAGGAACATGGCAAACCCACACGGTATGCTATGGGGCCAGCTCTTCACCCAAAATGTATTGACCATATAAGTGCTGGCCCTTCCACCTGTGTGTTGCTCGAAAATTGATCTTCACCAGTTCAGCTGGTTCCGTGTAAATCCTGGAATGTGCTGTCTTAATCTCAAAGCGCTGATGAAAAAAAGAAACAGCCAACCTCGAGTCTCGACACGAGTCGATACCGACTTCTCCAACTGAACGAGAACCCACCGTCTGAACTTGCGCGCTCCCGAAGAAATGCCTCCTTCTGCAATGGAGGAAGGTTCTCCCAAGGAGGCAATTGCTGCACAGCACCTCGCGCACGTGGCGTCGCGTCGCGTATCGTGTCGCGTGCCGCGTGCCGCGTCAGGCGTGGCGTGGCTTCGGTCTCACGTCCAAAACACCCGAAGAACTCACTCGCTCCTGCGTTCCTACAGGGGGTGACCCGACCCTCAAGCTCCCAGCGATGGTGCCGACGAAGATCGTCGTGTAAGGACAGTATACGGACGAACCGCATCGCTCACGAGACGTCTGACCCATACCGTACCCATACCGGGAAAAAGGAAAAAAGTGTCTTCCAAAATGGTGAACAGATGTGTTTTAGTAGAACATGAACAGGTCTGAACAGGGTCTGGAGACCTATCTTACTTCTGACTGCATGGAGGAGAAGCCATGCTTTTTTTCGGGTCAGATGCGCATGGTGCCAACTCTGCCTTGCCAAAAGGCAGGGAAGGTGGAACAAGCTTGGCAAAGCTGCTCCCTGCAGCAAGACCAAATCCAGTTAGCCAAAAATGATGCGAACTGCTTGGAATGCAAAATGATGCAAAATGCAAAGACCTTTCATGGCCTTTCCAATCATCCAACGGTACACAGACTGCACTACACACTATAAGTAGATAGCCAGGTGCTGAGTTCTGTGACTTGGGTACAGTTAGTACAGTGATGTCATAAAAAAGACTCACTGGAAGTTCTTCGAAGCTGTCTTGAAACATTGCTGCCAACCAGTCCCATTGAATGCTGGGGCCTGGAGACCCCTGACGCAGGTCTTGTTGTCGGCTTGCATGTGGGATCTGGGTCGTCGCAAAACGTATTGGGTTTCGCACGTCGCCAGCGTGCGGTTTCAGCGTGGCGGGACAGGCTGTGGACTGCGTGCGGGGACGGTTTGTGGACTGCGCTCAGTCGAGTCTAGGTGTCCTGCAGGGTAGCACCACACCTGCGAGGCTCAAGTGCTAGACATCTACTGCGACCTCATGGAAAGGATTGCAGAAACACGAGGAAGAATGTATATTTAAAATGTTTCTTGGATGTGAGAAAGGGCTACAAAGAGCTACATCTATGATGATACTGTCACTCGTCCTACCAACCATAACAAGCAGCTTCCCTTCATTCGACGAGCAAGAGGTTAGCGAGGCGCGCCTGTGCAATACTGCACACAATCAGGGGCAGGGATAGTGATCAGAAAGCCTTGGCGTAGCTTTGCTAATCACAAACATGCACCAAGAACACGAAAAAAATTATAGTGGATTGAGAGTAGATGGCACAGACCCCAAGAGGTAGTTTATATGGACCCCATTGGACCTCCATCCAAAGGACATGTTGGGGTCCGTGCCATCTACTCTGAAACCACTGTATTCTACCTGGTTCTACCTGACATGTTCACATCTCTGCTTGATCTTGCCCCACAGCCACGTCCAAAGCACTTCAGGCCAAGAAGCTTGGCTGAGTTCGAGTGGCTAAATTGCTAATACCTGGCCGAAGAATCCGAAGAATCCGCTGCTTCGCCCCGTCGGCGCTGATGGCCCGCGGAACCGCTTTGACCGCGGAACGACGGATCAATGCGACGGGCTGGCATACAAACAATAGGATGAGAAGTGCCTCTCAGGTGCGATTTGTTGAGTGCAAAAGACAAAGAAAGCATCGTTCACTGCCACTTCAAAGTCTGCAAAGTCACTAGTTGAGGCTCTGACATAGGTTCGGTACCAAACCTTGTGTCAAGACAGAATCATTCCAAAGCCCTAAGTGCTAACTTCTTCTATGATTGGAGTTTGCCAGCGTTTGAGTTCCTTGCAGGGAATTTCTCCTCGGCCTGACCGTGCATGGCAGCTTCGCCACCTGAAAGACAAAAAGACGAAAAAACACGACCAAAAAATACGGCCCAGCTCACTACGCAGCTCACATTCGCTCCCCAGTGAAGGCGGATGGTGCTTTGAAGCCCATCCCGCCTCTGCAAGGTTCTTGACTTCAGCATGGCCCCGAATTCCCCAGCTGAGCAAAAGCCGGTGGAAGGCGGAGAATTTCGGCGTGTTGAGTGTTGACGGGGGCGTATGTTCGTCTGGAAGTGTCTTCGCTTCTATCTTTCAAATATCTTTACTCTCCCTCTTGAATCATCATGGAAGTGGAAGACCACTGGTTTGTAGAGAAAAATTGTTCATCCAAAGAGCCATGGTCCACTTCCATGATAAAACTAAGAGATTGTAGATATTATGTATATAGATTTGCAATGCCATTCCATCGTATACAAGCATGCATGACGCGGATGCAGGAGCACTCGAGGTAGAGAATCACCTTGCACCTGAAGGCAGCACATGTTGCTCTAAAGAAAAATATTGTTTTTTAATGACATCAATAACTTCAGACTTCAGCCTATGACATGAAATCACAGCTTGACAGTTGTTTAACAGTTGTGTTTACATGTTTGTTTTCTATCAGTCAACCCACAAACACTTGACATCCAGCAAGAGAAACAGCTGAAGTCTTTCAGGTTGCTGCTCCGTTTGATTCTGAGCCAGTCTGAGACGCCACGCGGCGCGGCTGGGCGACACGTCACCTGCGTTCTGCAAGGCCGTCTGCAACTCCTGACACCGGGATTTTGCCGATGGACGGATTTCGCCGGGGCTCGGCCTTCGGGCCTTCGGTTCCTTCCGAAGATGGTTGGCCGAAGACTTGAGCGGATTTGACATGTGACGGCATGTTGGTGCTGCGAATTCAGACGCGCCAAGCGGCTCTTTTTCTCACGTCTCACATATAGCGTGCTTTGGCCTCATTCTGCCACAAGCACCCAATGCGAAGCGCTGTGCTGGCCGCTGTGCTGTCTTCTACATCTACCCGCTCATCTCAGATCCGCCCTCAGGGGCAGCTCAGCTCAGTCATCGCTTTTTCTTCTTCTCCTTTTCCGTGGGCAACTTCAAAGCTAATCTCCGCGGCTCCATCATCTCCGCGGGCCTGCTATTGGCACCGGCCGTGGGTGCCGGCATGGCCGCCAGTCGGGCCGCTTCCGACTCGCGCTGTAAACGCGCCTGCATGAAGAGGGGAAGCTCCTTGGGTGGAGCATAGACCCCAGCCTCCTCGGCGACGCGCATGGCTTTCTCGCCTGCTTCCTTTCCAGCTTGAGCAATCTCCTCCTCGCTCTTGCCAAGCTTTCGAGCTTCTTCTTCCGCCTCTTTGGCAGCTTCTGCCGCGGCGGGCAGAGCCCAATCGGAGCTTTCCTCTGTGGGCTTCTTTGGTGGCTCGGTGCTGTTGAAAATCTGCTCGTACTCTTCTTCAGCAGCTTTCATGGCATCTCGTAGCGCGAGATTGGGATCTTCTTTTCGCAGCTCTCTCATTCTTCGAGCCACCCAGGCATTTTTGGCATCAGCCTCTTCTTGCTTCCTCTTCTTATCCTTCTTCGCCTTTTTATCACTGGAGGAGTCAGAGGACGACGATGCCTTCTTTTTCTTCTTGGCTTTCTTTTTGTCCTTCTTCTTCTTGTCTTTCTTCTTTTTGTCTTTTTTCTTCTTGTCTTTGGACTTTTTCTTATCTTTCTTCTTCTTTTCCTCACTCTCAGAGTCAGAGCTATCCGAAGAGCTAGACATGGCTCGCCAGCTGCGGCTGAACCTACACTGCGCTTGCTGGATTACGCTGCTCTTAGCTGTCCGAGTCTGAGCGTGAGCTTCGTCTTACCCGAGCACACCACTGCATGTCAGCTGATGTAGACCTTTCTGGGGCAAGACGTCACAATGTGTATCTATCTGTCTATCTGTTTAATCAACTGATAGGCGATCTTGGACCTTTTCTCAGATGTCTCATGACACCAATGGTCCCATGTTGCCCACCATCGAAACGCTTGATTCCGGGGCCGCGGTGGCCGTGGCGGGGCGTGGCTTTCTTCTGACTAACTAAAGCTAAGCACAGGAGGCCATCGCTTCTGGGTTGGAGGCCATCCCTACTAGGGTGGAGGCCATCGCTAGTAATTAGGTTGGTTCCAGGTTGGAGGCCATCGCTAGTAGGGTGATTTCACACCACAAACTCAGACGCCTCATCAACGCGCTCGAAGCGTTGCCTCCCAACGGCCAAAGAAAGCCCGAAAAAGGTGCGATGTGTCTAGTGGAAACACGATCGTGTTCGAACAAGATCGAAAGAACATGGAACATGGCAGAAGTGTGTGTGTGTGTGTGTGCTTTCATTTTTGTTCATACTTCATAACCCTTCTTCTCTATACTTAGGAAACCACAAGAGCCGCTGGTATTAAGAAAAGGTTGGGGATTTTTAGCCAGCCCTTTATATCAAACCCCCAGCATGCCTCAGCTATCTGACTGGAAAGCCCGCTAAAACTCCAATAGTCGTTCGCTGCCTGAGTCGTTCCACTTCGACGGTCGTCCTTTCATCCTCAGCGGCAAAATCCATGAAGGAAGAGAAACAGCTTTACAAAGGAACTGGTGCAACAGTCCATGAATTGTTTCTTATGCAAAAAAAATCACAAACCTTCATCTGTAAAGTCCCTTGTTGGTCCAACCAAATGTTCCTTTCTCCATGCATCTAGTTGCTCAATGTTTGTCTAAACATGAAAACCAAGAGGCCCGGATTCCAGCCAGCTGTGGACTCCCCCACTTCTCGAGTTGGAGCAAGAGGGTTGCCTTGCCGTTCGAACCACTGGATCACTCTGGAACAGTGCACCCTGTGTCAGAGTGTCACGCAAGAAAAAAAAGACCTGCCTACTCCCTGAGTCTAGTTAGGCAGGTGAGAGCTGTCGAATCAGTGTAACGGCCCCAACAGAACGGATTCCTCATTCCACACCCCGAGAGTCTCTTCCGCACAGCACCGCTGTTTTGCATCCCACACAAAAATAATGATCTGATTTTCCACCTAGGAGACACCCTCCAAGAAACATGTCAAAGAAAACAAGAACACAACGATTTGAGAGGTCGCGTTTACAAACACTGCGCCTGGACGAAAACAAAGATGTGAAATCAAACACGTGTGGTATCCAAGAAACCAGTACCAGCTTCGTCAGTTCGTGACCTTTTTGGAGTCCCATCCACTGACCTTTTCCAGGCCTAAGTGACCTCAGACCAAGAAAATCGAGTTCAATCACTTTGAAGAACTAGGTATAGGATATGGTAGGATACTTTGAACCCATGCTCCCGGCCTTCTTTCGTAGGCAATCATCAGCGACTGCCCCATGCACCGCTGGCGGTAGACCCTGCAGGATTTGGAAGATCAGTGCATCTGGGTACAGAATCTGGGAACAACACCTCTTAGTCTTGGAGGATGTTAGAGAGGCAAAGCAGATCCCACGATTCCGTGAGGTCGAACATGACGGATTCCGTCGAAGCGACTGAAGCGACTGATGCGACGTACAGATTCAATGATTCAATGACGAACCCTTCACATCCAGCTAAAGCAAAGCAGTGCCAGTCCTGGTTCGGCACATTGACTCTGGCACCATCTGACTCCGCCTGCAGCTCCAAATTAAATTGGACAATTGATGATGATGATTATTATTGTTGTTATTATCATTATTATTCTTATAATTTTTATGATAATTATGATGATGACAATTGTAATTCTCTCTATACCGGGATCTTTCCAGTAACTTGATCCCCTCTCGTTGCTTCGGTCACTGATGACTCCCAAGTTCGGTCACTGGGAAGCTCCTGCACTGGTGCTTTCAGTCGGCCCATCGGTGGAGAAGAACAGGTTCAGGTCCAGACGAACGACTGTGTTTGTTCCAGGCGATGTTCCAATTGTTTTCAGACTGCTTTGGAGTTCCGACTGCCTTTTCGGTTGTTCCACCGATGATCGTGGTTCTTTGAAGAAATTCTTGTAAAGAGTTCGAGTGTTGAGACTGTTGTAGATGATGGTTCATCTGAACACGGACACACTGAACGGCACGTGGGATGTGCTCAAAGCTACAAACTTTGGAGAGTGCAAATCTGTTGGCGCTGAGCATGGGTATAGTAGGGCTAGAAGGACATAGACTATAGATGACTACAATACTACCTATGATAGTAACTAGGTGAAGAAGATCGTCTTCCAAACCGTTCAAGTTCAGAGCTGGCACCGCCAAGCTTCGCTGCCTCCTGCGCCGGTCGGCGGCTGGGTCTCCGAGAAGCGCGCGGCTCCTGAAGAGGCCGTGGAGGGTCGGCACTGGTGATGGCAGAACTCCCAAATGCCATGACAAGCCAATGAACCAGCTGCCAAGCGCCAAAGCGAAGGAGAAGTGAAGATCATACATATAGACTCTTGATTATATTTAACCCACCCAGTTGAATTGGACATCCGAATTCATATGGGGGCTTGACATATATCAAGAGTCCACACTATGCGGTCATTGATATGATTGATGGCTTCTGCGATTCAAGAAACTCTGACACGTGGGAGAGCTGTGAATGCGCTGCCTGGCCTCCGAACAGAGACACCCAAAGACATCCAGGTATAGCACGCCGCGGAACTGACCATGGCGAGTTCACGTGCGGCAAAAACGTGTCAAGCAGCAAACGCCCGGATGCAGTCGCAATAGCAACAAGATGCAAAAAAAGACAGCATGTGAAGTCCAGCCTGACATGGATACATGACGTCAACTTGCTAATTGGTCAAATATCAAAAAAAACGGAAAAAGCCAGGGAACGCACCTTCCCTGGTAAGGCCACTTTGTCTCCATGGCCCTGACGAGATGTGCCATGTCCATTCAAATGTATATCTGACGAATCAAAATCGCGAATGGTGATGAAGACTGTGTCATATGAAGAGGTCCATTTCAAAGTGATATGATATGACAATATGATATGATATGGTACGAAGACTGTATGATCTGTATGATATGAAGAGTTGCAATTGTCATCCCTACAAAACTGTGCTCAGAAACGGCCACAACAGTTCAGAATCACCTTTGAAACACTTAGAAAAATGATGAACAGCCGTGCTGTCTCGACAAGAAAAATATGGGATGTGGAAAAAGAACTGGCGCCCCTCCAAGTTCACTCGCGGAATCTAAATCTTTACTATCTTGAATCACTGATTTGGACTTCAGCTTCTGACCGTTGCAAGCCGCAAGCAGCCATAGAGCCAAGCAAGGTGAAGCGCCTCACGGTCTCGACACTGTCTGAAGCCGTCGTTACGGCACAAGCGTCGGCCATGTTCGACGAGCCGGCGATGGATCTATGGCTGTGACGAAGATCACCGGAACCATCCATTTGAGCCACACGAGCGCCTGGCGTTTTGAGCGCTAACTTCAGAAGTCCACACGTCAGATCACGTCAGATGAGAGACAGGCATAGTTTGAAAGCATGCAAGCAAAAAGACTGGACACGTGTGCGACCGTGCGAGCCTTGGGGAAATTACTGATGGTCTTTGGGTCAGCGGCAAGGCAGACCAAAGTGAGTAGGGGAGTGCCCAACCTCAGGATGCTCAGTTTTTCCATGAACTCTTCGTTCACATCCCGTATTGAGGCAAAGACTGAAGAGCCTGGCAGGATCTGGGAGAAAATAGATGAAAATAGAATGGCATAGAATGACTTCTTAATGCCGAATCTGTTGAGAATCATGTAGGCACGTGAAAAATCATGCCAGTGTCACCAGCGCAAAGGTCAGGATCCTGGCGCTCACCAGGACGTCTAACCTGGCGAAAGGGGGCGAAAGGGTTCAGCGACATGGGATCGCCCATGCAGATGTCACAGATCGCGAACATGGGATGTATCTCATTCCTTTCACCCTCTTTCGACGTGGGTTGGATCGAGGTTTGTCTAGTGGGCCACTCAAAACAGGGGGGACCCCGGTAAGACGACTCGCGGACCTCATCCACGCGCTACCCTCAACATCCCTTGGTACCTTGTGATACCGGGTATGAAGGGTGTAACAGGGGGGGACCCTGGTTGATTACCAGACATGGTCCATCTACTCGAAGGTTTGGATCTCCAGGTGCCATGACACACAGCCATTCTCTCATGTCGCCCCACAGCCATCATCACCCAAGCCTGTGGAGTGTCCCTTTCAACATACCTATACTCTTTCTTGCCACATCCAAGTTGGTACACTCCCGAAAACTGACATAGACCCTGACGTCCTGGCCCCCTGGAAGAGTGTTTTCCTCTACCAACCAGTGGTTTTCAGGGTCCATGTTAGTCTTTCAGGGTGTACTTCATTGTGGTTCAACTCCTTTTTTGGCCCGTGGACATGTGTTTGGATTCATTGGATCCTGTCTCTCACGGTCATCCGGTCGGCTCATCATCTGGTCGTGTCTGACTAAGCATGACACTGAGCTCAACCGTATGGAGAGGGAGACCTCCCAGCTCCCTGGAAGCTTCAGAAAATGGACCGGTCTACCATTGGGCCACGGGGTCTGTGTATACATGTTCAAACAGAAAGGGGAGGACTTGTCGCACCACACCCAAGCCGTAAACACACGCGCGCGCGTCGCAGACGCCCGCGTGCTCGGCCTCCTCGCCGCGGCGTCCGTGACGCGCCGCGTCGGCCGCGTCCGCGTGACGCGCCTGATGATGAGCCAGGCGGCGCAGCTCACCACCGCCATGCAGCTGGCAGCGGCCCAGCCGGTCTTCGTTTCGGACAAAAGGACACCTTGCCCGGTCGTGTCGTGCGGATCAGGACACAGCCGGCCCAGACACGCTGGGCAAAGACCCATAAATGACTTGAAACATCTGAGATGGTAGATCAGTCGGAACCGCATAAGATAATAAGAAGCTTTTCAGAGGAGGTATATTCGAAAACGTCCTTCCATGATCTTCCATGTCCCTCCCTCCGACACTTCAGGTCATCAGGTCAGCACCCAAAATGTAGGCGTTGATGGACTGAAGCAGCTGGTTCGTTCCCATTGCCATGCTCCTTGGAGACGTTTTGATGGATTCTTCAGCATCCGGAAGCCGCACCCAACCAGTTAACAGCTGCCGGCTACGCCGGCAGCCAGCCACGGTCCAAAGATCTGAAAGACACGGACGGCCCAGTTCGGTCCAGTGCCAGTGCCTCCCTTAAGGTCCAAACACGCGACTGTAAGCATCGTAGGCCTTCACGTGCCAGCTATGCGAAGGATCGTCCGACAAGAATTGGTCTTATGGCATCGTATGGCAACTCTGCATGTGTTCAGGAATTCTGGCCAGCCCGGCACCCCGTGATAAGGAATGAAATGGCTGTGAGTCCCAAACCTCACCAGGGTAGGTTGACCTGCCCAAAGGTCCGACCTCTGTTTAGTTTTATGTAATGTTCTCTGGTAAGGTCGCCCATGAATTACGGCTTACGCACCGAAATTCCGCGTGTCGTCGCTGCCATTCGGCTGGCGCATTTCGGCTGACCTGCCAGTTCGCTTGCAGGTCTCTGTACAGCTGGATGTGCCTCAGGCGCCAGTTTTCGAAGCGGTTGGGCACCGTGGTTGCACAAGTTCATCGAAGAAGGCTCTATATTTCCAGCTGAATGTCTATAGGGTCTAGGGCAAATCACCCTCAAACTGCTTTTTGAGTTGGAGAGCAACCCTTCAACAGCTCACAGCCCCTCCATTGCATCCAGTCCGAAGGGTTTGGCCATGGGTCCACAGCCTGCGAATGCTGGGTGCTGGGCTTCAATGTCGCAGCTTCCTCGATGGAAACTCCTGCCACCTGCGTTCAAATGGGTCAGCTTCGAAAGGGTCAAGTCATAAACACAGCACGTCCAATTCACGACTCCCAGGAAAAATCCACCTTTGATTCACCATGTGGGCTCAGGACAAAGATTCAACTAAACTTCCCATGTTGACCCCAGATTTCTCCCAGAACACGAAACATACACAGATTTTATATAACTCACACCAACTACCCAACTTGCCCAACTGGCGCATTCGTCAGGGCCTCTGGTAGGAAGTTGTCCTCCTGTCCAGTGGTGTCCTCCAGCTCATCGCTCTGCCTCAGAACTCTGAAGCCCTCTCTGTGCTCGTCGAATTAGTAGTGTCTCAAGCCGCAGTGCTTTGTTGCAGCTCCTCGTATGAGTAGAAGAGTCGTTTCAAGAAGTGATATAGTCTAGTGTACGCCATTGAAGTGTTCTTGGAATCCCAGTCGGGTCCTTTTACTTCTATACAATTGACAATTGGTGTCTTTGAAGCCCAGTTGGATCAGATTTATTGTGCATCAGCAGTACTAAAGCAGCAGTGTCACGTGTGTTTCTCATACGGCCCAAACGTCAGGTCACCCATGGTGGCGGTGAGTTTCCTGCCAACTTGCTGCTGATACGAGCTAAAGAGGAATCAAAGGAAGGAAACCTTTGTGCACATTTGGTGAATTCATCGGGACTTTTGTCAAATCTTGTCCACCTGTGTCTTGTGCATGTACATCGCGTGATCATGCGGCGTGATTCGTGATCCCAAAAAAGAATCCACAAGATCCAAAAAGAGGGAGGCCCAAAAACACGTGCGTCGCCCTCAGACGCGCGTTGCCTCGCCTCAGCTGTTGCTGCAGAACTGGGATGCGGAGGATCTGGCCCAGACTCATCGCCTCATAGTCCTAGCAGCTAGTGTGGCATGGCAGCAACGGGTCTGTGGGAGGGGTGGTAAATCACGGTTTGCCTAGAGAGTAAACATTGGTTTGCTTGGTAAACTTGGTTTAACATTGGTTTTCCAGTATGCATTGGACCCCAAGGCAGTTCGTGAGATGTTCTGAGTTGAGATGGAGGAAGTGAAGAGGCAGCGGCTCACTCAGCTGGGGTTTGGGGAACATGTACATCACCTGTCTGTTCATGTCGGCTTTTCCCCCCGAAGACCCTATCAGTATATCAATCAGCCACTTGCCACACCTCTAGCAAAGTTCTTCATCCATCCCTAGTGTCCTTGCACTACCGGCACTACCACAGGTTTTCATGGCGATTGCTCTCCAACACCTTCCAAAGATCCTGTTCACAGCATATCACTCCCCCCACAGCTTCACTATGCTTCACAAAATTCGACTCTTGATTCATGAACCCTCCCATAATATGAAGAGGTTGTTCAATCAAAAAAGGGGGGTCAAAAGGTTGTTCCATCAACATGAGTCTACATGATCTTCACTTCTCCTTCGCTTTGGCCGCCGCGGAGTCAATCTGCTGCAAGTTGGGCACCGGGAGTCGCACCTCAGATAAAGGCGACGCCCACTCTCTCCGGTCAGTGGCCCAACCAACCTCCGTGCCGACGCACAAGTTGCCAACTGGCTCAAAAATGACTCCAACAACTGTCAAGTTGGCACATCTGTGATGATCTGTGTGTATTCTGAGCTTCTTCTCCCTTCTCCCTTCCTATCCTTCCTCTCGCTGCTCAAAAAGAAAAAACACCCAGTCTTTCGCACACCAACGCCGCTCGTCCGAGCTCCGTGCAAACTGCGTCAACATCCGCACCTCGGGCGGCGTGTCGTTCCGCGCGTCGTTCCGCTCGCCCCCGGGCCGCGACACGGCCGCGATGCGCCCGTGACGCCGGCAGGCGCCAAGGTCGGGACCCCGAAGGAATGGGCCGCAATCGATGCGTGCATCGAAAGCCAAATGCCTGAGAGGCCAGGCCGTGGAAGTCGCTCGGGTCTGGGGATGGGGACAAAGGGGGTCGGACCATGGGTCGGATTTCACTGAATTTCATGGACAACAAAGGACCGAGAATAGCACAGCCATGCCGCCTGCCGCATGACCCGTCTCCCACACCAAGGGGAGATCCACTCGTTGGGCCCCCCCACTGAGGACGAAATAAAGCACGCCAGAGCCGCTGGTCGCGGCCAGAATCCTGATCGTTTGCGATCGGTTCTCGGTTCTGGAACCTTCGACCCAGCCATGCCATGCTATCCGAGGATGGGCAGTCGACTTCGATGAGATAAAAACAGTAAGAAGACGTCAGGCCCGCGCCAGTGCAGCCATAGCGGGGTGGAACCAGGTGATGGCATGCCCTCTGTGAACAGCATCACGCAAAACCTTTGAAATAGATGTTTGGTACTTCTGCTGGTGGTGCATGAGAAAAGGCAACAAGAAATCAATAAAAAGCGATGTCTGCACAGTTTGAGGCGAACACAGCAGTTGCAGGACGTTGATGACCATGTACACCTTCAGAATGCACTGCAATGGCACGATGAATCTTGCAAATGAAAAACGGTTGTTGTCATCTTGGACTGTCAATGACCAATATTTCCGGACTATATATATATATATATGTGTGTGGTATTAAGTTCAGCAAAACAAAAAGGAAGATCTCACCTGTACCGTACCCCCTTAATTACTATAGTCGTCTGCAGTGTCGGCCACGGCCCGTATGTTGTATATATATAATATATGCTTTTCTTGGTCAGCCCCAGAGTCATGTCATGTCCCCTCGGTCTTTATGGGTACCGATCACATGAGAAAAGGTCGGATGGAGTTCAGCTGCTTTTGTGGCACATCCATCGGACATGGCACATCCATCTTGGACACGGTGAGGTCGGTCAAGTCCCGAATGTCCTCGGATGCGGTGGATGGTGCGGGCGCCAAGGATTCGCATTGGAACGGTTTGGATACAGTGGTTTCAGAATAGATGGCACTGGCACTGGCACCCCAAGATGTCTGTTTTGGGGGAGGTCCATATATAAACCACCATTTGGGGATTGCGCCATCAACTCTGAAACCACTGCAAGTGAGTTTGGGATGAATCTGCTTTTGAAAGATGAAAATAAATGAAGGGCAGCAAGGTGTTTTGTTTCTCTTGTTTTTTCGTTGCTTTTCCGACCGTCAGGGATTCGCATCTGCGAAAACTGGTCCCACGCCAGGGCTCCTCTCTGTAAAGCTCATGTTTTCGAATCTTCATCTCTTGGCTGAAGTAGACCCTTTCTCTGAACTGCTCCTGGCAGCTGCCAAAACTCCAACGGAAAAAAGACTGAAAGAAGCCAGCGCCCGCTCCAGCACTCCACACGCTTTCCACACGCGAGCAACACATCTGGATATTCAAGGATTCTCATCACACGGACCGCCTTGTCAAACATGAAGTTCTTCCGGTTGTAGCTGAGAACGCCAGCTGGCCGCGAGTGACATCCGAAACTCAACGCGTGGTTTCCACGACATTGCGAGCCGAAACGAGAATGAAAAGGAGCACCCGAGTGAAACGAGCGCTAAGCAACTCGGACGCGTTCCGAAGGGTTCCGAACGTAACGGGTTCCACCTCCAGCAGCGCCAGCGGCCAGCAACTCCATGGTACCTGGATGTACCTGGTGACCGAAAAAGGAAAGCATAGGAAAGCTGGATGTTTTTTTGCTCGGCAAAAGCTCTGTGGCGGCCTAGTTGGCGGCCTAGGCCCAGGTGTCCGTATGGTGTTAAGTGGTACTTTCGGCGCTGTTGGAGAAAGAAGAATATGCGACACATCAGACATCATCATACCGACATGCCGATGTTGTGATGTCGCTGCAATGTATCCTCATCTCCGCTGTGTCTGACGTACATTTCTCTTCCATCATTCCATCGAAGTTGGTTTTGGAACCAGATTGGACTTCCTTATATATATATATATCTATATACACACACTTGACCTGAAGACCTTCCTCACCTTCACTCCGGACGCCCCACAAAACCATCTCACTCTCCTCTCTCGCCCTTCCTCCCGACGGTCACCGGCGACGCCACCGGCGCCTAGAAGTTCTAGGAGCGAATGTTGGGACCGTGGTCTTCTCCGTGTTGGGTCCGCGTGGTCGGCGTGGAGCGTGACGGTCAGCGTGGAGCGGTCGGTGGCGTCCAGTCGAGAAGAGTGGAGTCGAGTGATGTGAGAGTCGAGTTGCTTGTTTTGGGGCTGTTGATGTTGGTGATGGCGTGGTCGGTTCCTATCAATGATGATGTGGACATCTTGATGTTGTTGTTTGTTTTGGGGTGCTTGGTGGTTCTTTGTGGCAGTCTTGGGAGTGTGGGTGCCCAAGCTTCAGCACCGTTAGCGTCAACGATCGGTTGATTGATGTTGATTGACTTTTTGGGGACGAGGGGTTTCTGTAAGAGCAACACCAAATTTCCTGATGCAGCCTGCTGAAGCCGAGCTGCATGTGTCTCACCAAGCTGCTTGCGAGCAATTCTCCTTTTGTTGGAACTACACTGAGACTGATGGATTCCTGGCCCATCGCCACATGGCCAACCATCAACGAGTTGCTTCTAGAAATGTCCAGATGGAAACGTGTCCCACTTTCTCCCACCCTTCAGTTGAAAGCAAGCTATGAGAGATGCCCTGGTGCAGAGTCCGTTCCGAACGCTCTTTTGCGTTGCGATCTTCGCACCCGCAATGCTAGGAGCACACCGAAGCAAAGCCCTTCAGGAGCCTTCGTTCGCCTTCCTTCCAACTCGTGTGCCACTTTCGCACACAAGTCTTCAGAAAGCATTCAACACTGCCCAGATTGCGGGAGTTCTGAGGGTTGTTTGGGGGTGTGGATATGGGTGAGGCTAAAAGGAAAACGGTTCTCCTTCAACTTCTGATTTTCTAAATGTAAACAAGGCCTCTCTTTGTATTCAGAGCATGGAGGCAAGCGACAGCATCTGTCTGGAAAAGCCTGCCAGTCTGAGCTTGGGATTCTAAGCAAAACTCCTTGCTAGATGAAGGCGATGCCATTGTGAAAAGCAAAGAACACTGCGCAACTGCATGCCTCACTGCGACTCACAGATGGCATCCCTTCTAAAGCGCAAGAAGCCTTGTTCAGAGTCTGTGACATGAGCACGCTGCGAGTTTCTTCGACTCGTTGGATGCATCAAACGAGTGTGTGAACACTGCACAGGATCTGCGTTTTCGCCTTTGTACAATCCTTCAGCTCTTCTTCAGTCCCCAAATAGAGTTAGAATACGCTATATGTATATTTGTTGCATGGGAGATATGACTAACTAAGTGATCTATTTGGAGACCGCTGGCATTTCAAGCCGCTGAAGCTTCTCTCCCGCAGTCAGTCGTCCAGCTGCAACAAACAGGCCACACCACGCTTCGTCCAGTACTTCTCCGTATGCATCTTTGTGATCCTGAGTCGCCCCCGTTCAGGTCCGACGGTCCGACGGTCACCCCCTCTGCCAGCAAAGGCACTGAACCGAACCTGAACCGGGTTGCTCCCCCAACCTGAACGCCAACCTACCAATGATGACAGACCAGTTAGTCGATCCACACCCACAAGAATACGCGGACGGCCGGTGACAAGTCGTGCGGTAAACGTTCTCACTTCGACGATTTCACTTTGAAAAGCCGTGCGTGTGTGAAGCGTTCAAACCCGGAGAGATGGCTTCTCACCCGGAAGTGGCCGCAGAAATCCGTGCGTCGGTTCGTCAGTCTCTCCATGGTCGACATGCAGTTCTTCAGTCTGTCGTGTCGCACGTCGAGCTTCGGGAGCATCAGAGTCATCACGAAGTTCGTACTGTGCCCAGTGGTGGTGAGTGTGCCTTTGCGCCCGGACCTCGAAGCTGGCTGGAACGACCGCCGGCCGTTGGGAAGCACACTGAGGAAGCCAAAAAAGCACAAAAACACTTCGCACTCAAGGCACGTCTTGTAGAGAGGTGACGGGTACACGGCTTTTCTGTCGGTGGGGTCCTTCCGCAATCGCAAGGCAAAATTCTCTATACAATGTACAGTAGCTGACTATAAAGCAGTGAACAATACAACAAGTACTTCCAGGGTATTAATATGTTAATATGACAATATTATATATATAGAGAGTCATGTAGCGTCATATAGTTAGAACATGTTAGAACATGTAGAACTCGAAAAAAAAAAAAAAAAAAAAACACCAAAACAGGACGCTGTGCTCCTTGGTGGCCTCGCATGGCGTCAAATGGACGGTCGGCACGGCACCTCACAAAGAGAGTCCGGTGGACGAGAGTCCGATGCAGGGTGCAGAGCCTCCTCCGCTTCAGAACCTGGTCTGTTCCCCTGATGTTTTCCAATCATCAGATGTACAAAACCTTTGTGTGTGTGGACGCTCCATCCTGCAGTGGATGCAGGCAGGCTAGCAAGCTTAAGCTTCCGAAAGCTTCCAGGCAGCTTCCAGAAGCCAGGACATGTGAAGAGTGTGAACAGCCGGTCTTTCTGCAGTCAATTTGCTGAAGAGGACCTTTGGCAGGCTCTCTGCAATCACGCCCTCGGTGTCGTCCCAACCTGCGAAAACAGCGCACTCTACTGCGCACTCTGAAGATGTTAGACTCCCGTAAGGGGGATGGATCAAAAGGGAATGGGTCCAAACCCGGAGCTCCAAACAACATGTAAGTCAAGATAGGTCAAGCAAGGTCTGCTATAGTTGCCAAATAAACCAAGGTACCAAGTTCAAGGGATGTTGAGGGTAGCGCATGGATGAGGGCCGCGAGTCGTGTTGACCAAGGTCTCCTAGTTTTGACCCACACATTTGACATCCTTCATTTCACTCTTCGAGTAGGACCAAAATGAAGACTTGCTTTTCTTCGGAGCCAAGGCCCAACAGGTGGCGGTGGTGTATACGGTGCCACGTAACCATCATGATTTCAGGGAGTATAAAACGAAATGGCATCCAGCATCCCTTTCAAGTAGTCACCATCACCTGTCACCCCACCATCACTTGTCCCCCGTTTTAGCCAAGCTGCGAGCTCCATCCATGAAGATTCCATATGCCAGGCAGCCCGTCGCAGGCTTGCTATGCTCCACCAACGCCTTGAGAACGGTGAAATTCCAAATCAGCCTTAGTGCGTGCGCTCAGCCAGTGTGGGAGACGCTTGGCCAGGGGCTTCCGGTCTAACCCAGAATTGTGCTCGGTGGGTGTGTCGCGGCCGCGCGGGAAGAAAAGCCTCATTGAAATCCCCTTAACATCCAGTCACCAAATTCCAGTGATGGTGCACCTGGCCGGCCATGGCCGGCGAAACCAGCAGTCACCGAGGCGCGTATCGATGGGCAACTTCTGCTTGCGGGCGTAATTCTGCAACTGTCCCGTGAGGAAGGACTGCGTGAAGTAAAAGCCTAGCAGCCGCAGACCGCAGACCGCGGGACTGAACTGGCCCCAGGGGTCAGAATCGGAACTTGACCGCGTGTGACCATTTAGGAAGCAACTGGATGTAACTGGTGTCCGCTACTCCACCTCTCCATGAAGCTTGAGATGAAGTGCTTCGGGTTCGTTTTCTGCTTCGTGGAGACCGAAGAAGGGGCGACTTCCCTCCGTTCCCTCCGTTCCGGGACGGCGAAGCACCGGAGATCGGAGATCGGAAAGCGGTGGTTCTCCGCGGTGGTGGCGCTCCACCGCCATCTACCGCCACTTGGGCCACGCGAAGGCGTGCCTGACAGCCAGTAGGCTTCAGGGGTGCCTTCATTGAGCCAGGTCTGAAAGAAGTTGATTCCTTGGATGCAGGAATCAACTACTGTGTGATTTCTCTGTCAAAACGTGCCGTCAGCACCGTAGATGGGTGACCAGTGTCTGATAACTCACTGCATGCCTGCATGACATGTCAAAAACGTTCACAAAAACACTACAGAGTTCTTCACGCTAAAGATTGTGCGAGCATGTGCGACCAAGTCTCGAGCGCAGAGATCAGCCACATAAGATACAAGTGGTTTCAGCGATGGATACGATACCTCTTTCCAAACCTCCGCCAAGGTCAGTCGTTTTGCTTGCAAAAAGTGGAACCAATGTGGAACAACTCCAAGGCCTTCCCCCTATGCTTCTATGGTCTTATACCCTCAAAAGTAAGTCAGCGCAGATGGCATCAAAGTAGGGACATCAAAAGAATAACAAAAAACAGAAAAACAAAATCACTAGGATGGGCCGCTGACCTCCAAGCAGTCTTACTTCTAGTGACTACTAGTGTTTCACCCTTTTTGTTCCAAAACCCAATGCAAACCCCTTCCCACCCCTTTCTGTGCTTTAACCTCCCCTCGGATCCCCCCGGGTTTTTTCTGGAGCAAACCCCCACCCCACCCTACCCTTCTGTCTTCTCGCCACGTTCCGTCACGTCTTCCCCATCCCCTTCACCACGTCTGTCGCCGGGTCGCCGAGGGCGTCTTGTCCGTCAGAATGCCATCGGCCACCTCTTCAAGTTCGGGACTCATCACCACCAGTCCTCCGCGAGGCTCGGGCCGGGTTTGGGATCCAGCTTGCCGGGCAAGTTATTGACAAATGAAGGAATACAGGAATACATGAGGAAAACAAAAGGATCTAAGTCCAAGCGTTTCAGGCAGTCAAGGCTTCCCAAGAATGTATATAAACAGCTGCCGTTCGAGCGTTCCCCAGTGCAATGCCAGGGGACGAAAACCGCGCCAAACCACGCCCGCCCGGTATCACTCGGTGCTGCCCAAGTGGCCCTTCACCGCCTTTCTCACGTCCGTCAGGGTGCTTCGCACTTTGATGATGAGTCGATTGAAGCGCAGTAGCTCCTAGGCCGCCGAGAAATGAGGCCAGGGACTGGGCTGAAAAAATACCTGGGTCAGTCACTAGTTCATGTTGATGAAATGCTTAGGTGCTACTGCAATGAACTTTGACACTTTGTCCCAGTCGATTGGGTTCAAAAGTCTCAAAAGAAAGCACTGTTTTTTGTAGGTTGCAGTAACCGCGGCAACTCTGTTGTGGCACTCAGGGCCACTCATGAAGTGTGAGGAAAGGTACCAGAAATGCGAAGTTTCACGAATACATTAAAATGTCGTGGATTCAGCTTGAAACTGCAAAAACATGGAGGAAGCAACTCTTGAAAAGTATAAACCATAAACCCACTCCAGGGTCTGAAGCTGCCATCGCCTCTTTTTCATAGGTTACTCCGTGCTCTGACTGCTCCAAGACTGGTTTCCACAGGAGACCCCCCTTCAGATCCTGTGAGCTGCCATCACGTCTCCTTCCTCATGGTGGGGAAAGATGCCGAGGTATGCGTGGTCGGTTTTTGCACTGAGTACCAGAATGTATAATCTAAGTAAGCGCAGCCGTCGTTGATGAAACTCCCACATATGCAACCTCAAGCTCTGCCACCAGTTAGTTTCCGGCCAAGGGCTGCCAATCCTCATGGTTTCCTCTTAGTCCTCCTACCTCCAAATCCTCATCCTCATCCGGGTTGCGAAAGCATGTCACAGTCAAGTGAAACTGGTCGGCGGATGATATTCCAGAAATTTTGCGGGGCAGTCGGTCGTCATGGTTGTCTAGTACTAGTACTAGTACTAGTAGTAGTAGTAGTAGTAGTAGGAGTAGGAGTAGTAGTAGGAGTAGTAGTAGTGGTAGTAGTAGTAGTAGTAATAGTAGTAGTAGTGGTGATAGTAGTAGTAGTAGTTAGTAGATAGTAGTTAGTACTATGTACTATGCAGTAAGTAGTGAGTAGTAAGTTTTAAGTTTTAAGTAGTAAGTATACAGTAGTATATTATAGTAAGTAGTATGTAGTAAGTAGTATGTAGTAAGTAGTATGTAGTGAGTAGTAAGTAGTAACTAGTAACTAGTAAGTAGTAGCTAGTAACTAGTGACTAGTAAGTAGTAAGTAGGTAGTAGTAGTCGTCGTCGTCGTGGTCGTCGTAGTCGTAGTCGTAGTCGGTAGTTGTAGTTGTAGTTGTAGTTACAGTTGCAGTTGTAGTAGTAGTCGTCGTCGTCGTCGTTGTCGTCGTCGTCGTAGTAGTAGTAGTAATTAGTCGTAGTAATTAGTAGTAGTGGTAGTGGTAGTAGTAGTAGTAGTAGTAGGAGTAGCAGCAGAAGTAGTTGTAGTAGTAGTTGGTCGTAGTAGCAGTAGTAGTAGTAGTGGTAGTAGTAGTAGTAATAGTGGTAGTAGCAGCAGTAGTACCCTAAGTCACCGAAATTAGTAAATATACATTTTCATTGGATTTACGTAAGTTGATGAATTTAGGTGGCAAAAAGTGTAAATGGGTTAGTAAATGTAAATTTGATTTAGGTACAACCTAAATTTATTTAGGTTGGTCTTCACTAAGGGTTTTCCTATTTTTTCATTACGTTTTGATTTGCAAATATTCAAAGCTGCATCTAAAACACATCTTTTGAAGAAAGTAATTTGTAAAACATATAGCCACAAGTAGAGACACTTGGATAAAACCACAAGCACACACACTCAGGTATAAGCACGCAGGAAAGACAAGCACAAGAAAAATATCTTGGGTATAAGCACCATGAGCTTTCCATCCTTTGTCCTGTCCAGGACTTGGTTCACTATCTTGTGCTGTTCTTCTGTGCATCCCTTCTTCATGCTCAAGGTCTTCTTCCAAGCCTGCACAACATAGTCTGGCAGAGAGCCCTCAGACAACAAGGCCTTGAACTTGTTGTCCTTCGACCTGTCCTTCTTGGCCTCATCGCACTCGAAGAAGTCTGCATTGTCCTGCTCCTCCTCCTCCTCCTCCACATTCTCTTGGTTCATCCTCTTCAACTTCTGGTGCTTCCTCCTCCTGATCCTCCTGCAACCCTGCTGCCCAGCCATGAGCTGCTGGCTTCTTCTTTGGCTGTACGGTTTCTCCACTGGCAGCAGGCCTTTTAAAAGAGCCTGCCTTTGGCTTTGGCTTTGGTTTGCTCTTTCCTTTTGCTTTGGGCTTCTTCCCTTTAGGGCTCTTTGCTTTTGGGCTCTTGGATTTTGGGGTCTTTGCTTTGGAAGCTGGCCTTTGCTTCACAGGTGTACTGGGCTCTTCAACTACACCATCGTCCTTCTCCTCAGGAGTGACTTGGCCCATGGGGATCTCTTCCTCTGCCATGCCAATGCCAACAAGCTACTGCGCCTATCTTTCAAACCTTTCAAAGCTCTTTGAGATCAATCTAGCTGCAAAAGTAAACAACAACCAATAAGCCAGCTGTGCAGTAAACTCTCAACAACTTCAATTTGAACAACATACAATGCTGATCAACTCTTTGTGCAAAAGCATTACCTTCTCAGGTAAAGGATAAACCAACTTCAAATTGAACAACATACAATGCTGATCAACTCTTTGCGCAAAAGCTTTACATTCTCAGGTAAAGGATAAACCAACTTCAAATTGAACAACATACAATGCTGATCAACTCTTTGTGCAAAAGCATTACATTCTCAGGTAAAGGATAAACCCACAAGAATGCTAGATATCTTTTTGCTGACAATATGATGCAGAATATCATAGCTTTTCATAAAATCTGTCAAAAAATTGTATGAATTTTTGATGCACTTTTGATGCACTTCTGATGTATTTGTTAAAAGTGTATACACTTTTGATCAAAAGTGTATACACTTTTGAAAAGTACATCAAAAGTACATCAGAAGTGCATCAAAAGTGCATCAAAAGTTCATCAAGAATTCATCAATATTTTCTCTTAAATTTCTAGTTTTTTGAACTAAATTTCATAAATACATATCAAATACACTTCAACTCACAACAAAACTAAACAAGACTAAGCGCACAATTCCAAGTTGAATGGCGTCCTCATGTAAAGTATACTTACACAAAGTCTCAACCACTGAAGTAAAATACACTCAAGTAAGACCATCCTCAAGTAATGTCTGCCATGCTCAAGTAAAGTGTGCCATGCTCAAGTAAAGTCTGCCATGCTCAAGTAAAGTGTGCCATGCTCAAGTGAAATCACATCCTCAAGTAAAAGCTCAACAGGTAAAGTCACACCCTCATGTAAAAGCTTCTCAAGTAAAGTCAGACCTTCTTCATGTAACAGCTTCTCAACATCATGTCACAATGCGTGCCCTCAACTCTACCCCAAAGGCTGCTTGTGTCTTTTTCACTCCAAGGATTCCAGAGATGAACTGCTGTCATCTTGCAGCGTCCTCATCAAGTCCATCGTGGCATTGATGCGGTCACGCCCCCTGAAAATGGTTTCAAGCCAACATTGACATAACTCTTGTTCATTTGCTGCATTAATTTTCAACAAGCAAACTTGTTTAAAGTTCAGTCCAAGAATCTTGTCAGCTTTGCGCTTTCACTGCTTGTTTCCTTCTTGCTGAGGTGTCTCTTGTTCTTCTTCTTTTTCTTCTTCTCACAGAGCCAAAAGATCTCGCACATAAAACATGCACCCTCACACTGGCAAAAACCATCAGAGAATCAGAGAATGCTCTTCTTCCTAAAGTGAAGAAAAGTACATATCCTCAAGTAAATTTACTCCCTCAAGTAGACACCCTCAAGTAAAAATGTTTTGTTCAAGTCAAGAAGGGTACACATGCTCAAGTAAATGCAATCCCTTCAAGTAAAGGCAAAGTCCACACCTCCTGGCATGCTCAGTCAACAAAAACAAAAATCCATAGCGCAAATATCCTCAAGTACATGTTGTCCTGTAGAAAACCTGCCTCTTTGGAGAAAGCCAACTCACATAAATAGAGACATTTTCTGCTTCAAAATCATGCTCGCAAAAATTTACTCAGAACCTAAAAAATTTACTAATAACCTAAATTGGATTTACTAATAACCTAAATTGGATTTACTCATAACCTAAATTGGATTTACTAATAAATTTACGTAAAATTTTACGTAAATTTCCCTTAGTAAAACCAAAAATTTACGTAAATTTTATGGTTAGTAAAATTACTAATTTGGGTGACTCAGGGTAGCGGTAGCGGTAGCGGTAGCGGTAGTGGTAGTGGTAGTGGTAGTAGACTAAAATGTCCCAAGCCCTAAACTTCGTAGGTAGAGTTAAACCTTAAAATCTTTAGGGTTGCAGCTACAGGGAAATTTAGTCTACGAAACTCTTGTCAATTAAGCTCAGCCCGAACAGGTTCAGCCGCAGCCCTTGGGGAAGTTGATGATGTTTGACAGGCGCAACCATTAAAAGAAATGACGATGGTGATGGTCTTGAGTTTTGACGCCCTCCTCAGCAGTCTCAACCGTCTTTGCCTCCTCTGCTGGCGCAGCCTCCGGTTGATCAGCGGCATCAGCGGCCGGAACAAAGCAAACAAGGAGAGGCATGAGCACGAGCACGCAGCAGAAAGCCCACCTGAACAGCGTACATGTATGTAAGGCACGCCACAGCCGACAAAGACACCGTGAGGAGCTCGTAGACGCTGAGCGTCTTGTCCCTCCGCCCTTCGCCCAGATCAACGCACCAAATGAAGTCCGCAGGCGCGTCTTCCACGTCAATGTTGACTTTCCTTGATGGAAGCAGCCTTGTCGCTGTACGGGCTTGCTATCAACGCATTGACCCCAACCTGTCACACGCGACCTCCTGTAAGCCAGCCAGTACATTGACGGCACGGCCGCCGGCCATCTGGACCTGGGCCACCCACCAGCGAACATAGTTCTCCATAAGGCGTCGATAAGGCTGTAGCGTCTTCGCCTTCCTATCTTTGGCCACATTCTCAGTGGTCATCAACTGGTCAGTGATACTAGCCTTGTATTGCGTGGCCGCAAAGCTCGGCGTGCAGCTGATCCTTACTGATTAGCGGCTCCAGTGGGCATCAACATACATGACCCGGCGAACGCTCAGAAGTTTGTTCCTTTTGCCACTATTCTCTGCATCCAATAATGTTGACTTCTTATTGTTAAATGGCCCGTGAATAATACTAAGTGTTTTCAAAACAAACTATAAATGGACACCAAAAATACTAATTTTTTGGGACCATGATTTTCAGCTGCTTCCAGACCTTGATTCAATCAAACTGATTCTGAGCTTTCAGTTGTTTCCAAAATTTGATTCTTTTGGCCGTTTGCTTTACAATTCTTTTGGATTTCCTGTTGGTTGAAAAGCGTTAGGGATTTGAACGCAATCCTTTCTGGATATCTGATTTGGCTGCTGCATTTTCCTTTTAAATTTGCTTATTTGGGCGTTGCCATTCGTAACCTGAAATCAACCCACAAAGACCACCCCCCACAAGCAGCCCAAACCTTCAATTACTCCGGACCTCAAACAATACTAAACAATCTCTGCCTGGCTCTTTTGGCGGTTCCCTTTACAATTCCTTTAGAATCCCTTTTGGTTGAACAGCTTCAGCTTTATTGAAGGCAACCCTTTTGGCTGCTGCATTTTCCTTTCAACATTACATTGCTTACTTGGAAATTGCCATTTGCAACCTGAAATCAACCCACAAAGGCCACCCCACACAAGCAGCCCAAACCTTCAATTACTCCAGACCTCAAATAATACTAAACAATCCCTGGCTGGTTCTTTTGGCGGTGTCCTTTACAATTCCTTTAGATTTCCTTTTGGTTGAAAGGCTTTAGCTTTATTGGCGGCTATGGTTATTTAGGCTCAGCCCTTTACAATTCCTTCAGCACTACTTACATTGATTGCTGTCATTTTCCTTTCCTTTCCTTTCATTGTCCTCCTTTCCTTTCATGTTCCTTTCATGTCCTTTCCTTTCCTGGAATTTTCCTGTCACTTCCTTTTCTTTCCTTTCATTTAAATGCAAATCCGAATTTAAAATTTTCTTGAATTTTCTGCGGTTCAAATGATTTAGGGCCCGCACTTGATCAACGGGGGAGGGGGGGTTATTCAGAGGTGGACATTAGCAGGACCATGAAGAGCTGGTCATGACGATTGTCATAGATCGCCCTTCAATCCTTATGGCCCTTCTGCTCCGGTGCAACCGCTGGCTTGCTGCCACTCTTTGTAGTTGTGCGCAGCCTCTGGTCAAGTTGGATGACCTCATACAACAACCATTCAATACGACGCGTCCGTCGCCAGGAACTCAGCGAATGAAAAATATATATACAACAACCTCTGCCGCCTCAAACTCGGTGAGTTAAGAAGGGCCAACAGCGCACGTGCTTAATATAAGCAGTAAGCCTATCAACTTTTTTATTACTTAACGCAATCAGCAATCACGACTGCCGATCACCTTCAGTCTCTGCTTCAACAACTCAATCACGCTCCAATTCAATCTCTTCATCAATCCCACGATCCAATTCAATCACGCTCTTCCCTTTTCATTCTCTTCTTCTCTTCATTCTCTTCATCAGAACCCATTATTTTGAGGGGGGCCACCTGCCAGCTTCTCCGGATAGTGTGCGGCCACGCCGCCCACTTCCGGAACTACCGATGTTGTTCTTTCCGGTTCTTTCCATCCCAAAAAACGAGAGAGAGAGAGAGAGAGAGACAGAGAGACAGAGAGAGGGAGAGACAGAGGGACAGAGAGACAGAGAGAGAGAGAGAGAGACAGAGAGAGAGAGACAGAGAGAGAGAGAGAGACATAGAGACAGAGAGAGAGAGAGACAGAGAGACAGAGAGAGAGAGAGACATAGAGACAGAGAGAGAGAGAGAGACAGAGAGACAGAGAGAGCGAGAGAGAGAGACAGACAAAGACAGAGAGAGAGAGAGAGAGACAGAC